GGAAAAAAAGTCCGGCTTCTCGCGGATGATTACTAATTTTCACCTTTAGGTGGAGATTTAAGATATATTTATTAGCATTTTAGAGTGGATACACGTTATCTTATCAAGGAGTACACGTTTCCAACGCCAAAAGCATCGCCTGTGCCTCCGACAACCAAATCTGGCGAGAACTATTTCGCGCGGCGTATGAACAATGCGCAAAACTTTCTGTTCCCTTGAGGTGAAAACTGGTATAGATTACATCGCAAAAAAACGGGATGGTTACACCTGCGCGTACGATGAGAGTTGCTTTTCAAGAACTCGCTCCGCAGAACGAGATGCCAGATGCAAACGAACCGGCGTGTCACTTCCGGGGCGCCGCTGATTGGCTCAGCCGCTCCGTGACTAGATCGCCGCATCGCTAAAGAGTCGGGTCAACAAGCGACTGCTCGAAACTCTACGCTCTTTTTCCGGGATTGTCGCTTTTGTGATGAAAGTTGTCGCGAAAGCGCTGCACATTGCCGGTGTGAAGGCACCTTAACGGCCGAGCTGACTCAAGAGAGGCTCCACTGGGTCTTCCTGGTTCTGTGTATGAGTCCCTACACTCTTTCGATTTTAAGATGTGGAAATGGGGCATGGAAAAGTTGTTTATTCCGTAGCAACATAGATGGCCCAGAGACAGAGTGCCTGCCTATACACCTTTCCAAGAAACTCTCGACTCCAGGGGCAGCAAACCGTTTTCGAGCCCACTCACTGGGTTTGAGGCTAGACTTTCACCGGCGTCCCAGCTAACTCTAACCGAGTGAACTGTAACTTCAATAGGTGCAGCCTGCACCATTTCAAACACTGCTGGTGGCTGAATTCTCGTCTTTTCCTGCTGTATCTTGTGTTTCATGGTTCATGTATTTTCCTGAAAACATTGAGAAAGCATTGTACCATATTTAAAAAAAAAAAAAAATTGTAAATTATTTTTATAGGTTAAGCACGCGGCAGAACAAATGCGACTGGAATGTTGTCGTTCTTTGTTCTTACGATAAGTTTTGACGGCGCCGCCCGATTAGCCGAGTGTCGAACGAAAAGGAGCTTAGCTGTCGAAAATAATTTACAACAGATGGCTAAAAGGCATGCATTTTTCACGCTCACAAATAACGTGTTTACCGAATGACAAGACACGGACATACAATTGAGCGAGTGTTAACATTCGAACAATGTATTGTACGTACCACACGATGCAGCGTTGTCTAGAAAAGATTTATTTGAGAAAGATCTCGAATAACACATTCACAGTCGACGGCGGTCGCATCTTGACGATCGGACGGAATGCAAGATCACTTTGTTTCGAAGCACGTTTTGGGGAGAGTTTCCTTTTTCACAACAGCACCGAGGCAGAGACACGTACGCGACTGGCCCGTTTCCCACCCTAACTTGGACAACTATTTTTGGAGATTACTGAGGATTCTACTCGGATTCTTTCTGGAAAGGGGGAGAACAATTGTCATTGTTCGCAAAATTGCGTCGAGGACACTTCGAGGTCCTTCCCCTCCTTCGTTTCCCGTGAATGTCGAGCAGCGGCGCTTGAATGGCGGGCACTTACCAGCCCTATTTCTCGCAGTTGGAGATAACTCGGAAAGCGTACGCGTAAAAAAATGAAGTGGAAACTTTCAAGAGGGGCCAGAAAACGTTGAATGAAAAACCATACAAACATAGGTAGAGAATCACGCTGACATTACTTTTCAATTCTTTCGGACGGTAATTTGTGCACATTTTATATGCAGTATATATACTGGAACTTGGATTTTCCTGTTTGCTCCCCCCCCACGGTCAGATGCACCTCAAAGTGAACCATAACAGTTGCTTCTTTGGCACACACGACGGACGTGCTAAACGGGATTGCTTCCTCTGGTAGTGATGAGAGTCGACCCACCAGTTTTGCTTCCAACGGTGAAGGTCTGGGAGAAGCGGTAGTCCTTGGCGGCTCGTTCTCAGAAGTTGATCCATTCCATTTCTCCCAGGAGCGTTCCAAGACGTTCCTCCGAACGAGCCCAAGTTGTCGTGCATGGTCTCGCAAGGGGTGGGTGGTTGCTGGGCAGAAATGCTGTCGGAAAGAGGTCGCGCAAGCTTCCCGAGATGCGTTTTTTTTTCCAAGGACCTCCACTAAAGGCATGCCGCGAGAGGCACCTGCTTTGCACGCTTCGCGTCATTTCAGACTACAGCAAGCATTTTTACCTGCTGAGGCAACACATCCTTGACGAGGCATTTCAGATTAACTGTCGTTGTTCAGCTCACAGTGGTCGAAGCTCGATGGTTCAACCTTCCTTCGCAAATAAGGCTGGGATTGTGTGCGTCCCGTTGTCTCTAGAATAGGCTGACCTCACTGGACCCTCGGCATTGTAGCCTGGTCACGACGTGGCACGGTAAATCAATCTCGTGTTCCGCGAGCCTTCCAGCAATGCCTTTGCACGAAAGCTTTCAGTAATGAGATTGCTGCGCCATTTGCGCCGAAGGTTTTACCCAGAGCCGTATATGGGGAGAGTTTGGCCAGTGGGTGTGGCGACGAAGGCGCCGGAGAAAAGTAAATGAAAGGGAGGAGAGCGCCGAAGGAGCGAGAGAGGAGACGACCGCCATATAAAAGTTTGTGGCCATATGCGGAAAAATCTTCATTTATTAGCTTTTTAACCCACCGAGGAATAACAGGATGTAATTTTTTGCAAGAGCCAGCGATATAAAAGGCAATAATCGAAATTTAGATGCCGATCCCACGCATTCCGCCGTGAGAATGATCGAAGATGGCGGCCCTCCCCACTCGGGTGGGAGCAGCCGGGAGTTCACGCGCATGCCTCTCGCTCTATGGTGCGTGCTGATTGGCTCACTCGGGAGGAGAGCGTTACGGCGGCGAGATCATAGACTGACCAAACTCTCCCCATATACGGCTCTGGTTTTACCCCGCTACATCTCGTTACATTTTGCCAAAATGTGCCAAATTTGTGCCAACACCTTACTAAAACATAATTTTTGCTTCCTAAAAATACAGTTCAGGCCTCGCTACTCGGCTGGAGAATTGCTGCGGTACGCTTGTGGGAATTTTCGGAGCTTTCTATTCTTTGTCACAAATAGATTTGATATCTGCATGGAATACTGACAGCACCTGTAAGTTTGGCACCATTTCTACCATTGGTGGTCTGTTCCGGCGGTTAGCTAGCTGAGTGCACTTCTCACCCCTCACTGGTGCCCTATTGGGGAAGAGGAGCGACCGTGACGCCCCAAGCGGTTAACTTTAGAACTACACGGATAGGGACAACAAATACAATGACTCGGCGCTCGGCCGACATAACCGAACGCGGCGTCAGCGTTCGGCTGGAGTTTGTGTTTTCCGGTGAGGGGGAGGAGGGGCTCTTCTGTTTCCACTCCGGCCTGCATGAACACTGCAACAAGCACGGTCCGAGCTCGGCACAAAAGCCCAAGTGGGTTCAAGCTCGCATTATCTGAGGCTAGATCCGGCACTTAGCGTCGCTTTGTCGATTGTTAGTATTTTTTACATTAAACTGTGCCCCAGAAGATGACATGGAGATGCCCATAAGGTCTGAGCACAGGCCTTGTGTTGAGTAAACACCGAGGTGTGGGGATACAAATGGGTCGGAGCGCCCCCTATAGTTCGATCTCCTGCCCAAAAGAGGCAACAGCGGAGGGGACATTGCAATTTTACGCATCTTGCTGAACTGCAGTGGCTGTTCTATCAAAGAGCTAGAACCTATCGAAAGGTGATAGCTAAGAGAGTTGACATAAAAGGTAGACCTGAGCGGGACGTTGCGCACAATTTCTGAATAAAGCTCTCCCTGTGTATACCAATGTTCTATGTCTTTTTCAAATTCGAGGTTTTGCGAGGAAGATTTATATGGGCTGCTCCGTAGCTTTATTTTTTACGCCAACTCGCGAGTTCTCACTTTTATATAGGTTTTATCTGTTGGATAGAAGAGTCAATAGGGTAAATTAAAACTAAATTAGCTGGATTGGAAGCCTGGGTATATAAGGTTCAGTGTTTTTTTGTTTTTTTTTTCTTCAGTTTTGGGTATGTTTTTTTGTGCGTATTGTTTCCCACGGATTCTGCTTTTTATGTAAATTGATTATAACTTAACCAATTGAAACAAAAAGCACTATAAAAAAAATTTAAAAAATGCCCCCAAACTTTAAAGAAAAAATAATATAATTTTAGCGAGTCCAGTGTTTTTTTGTTTTTTATAAGAAGGCATATTTATTAAGAAAAGGTTAGGGTGCAAACAAGCTGGTGAAGGTTTACCATTTGAGACAAAACTCCGAGACGGGAGGGAAGGAAGGACAACACAACAGAGTCTCAATTGTTTGCATTCCGATTTTCATATTCACGAAGTTAATCTTTGTAATAAAATTATGAAAGCTTAATTTGTTTGTGGTAATTGGGTATTTGTTTCATTGCAACCTTTAGAACTTGAACAAAACGTCAATTTGGGTGCTCGGAAGTTTTTTATTCCGACATTATCTGGGTGGAATATAACATTTGGTTTAGCTTTGATTCCGTACCTGAACTAAGCATTCAGAGCAGTTCCTACAGACCTTCATCAATGGGCATCTTAGTGGCGTGCCAGGTGCTTCTTCTCCATGCATCTATACATGTATACTCATTTTCAGCTCAAGAAAAGGGGAAATTTGTTCGCCTGGTGAAGTAGTTCCTACGAGGTTTTGGCATTGGAGGTGGATCTCTACCTAAAGGGGCCAATGCTCCACGGGGGCTCTTTTTTGCTGCAGAAAATCCCCTTGAGATGGCTTCTTGGTTAGTCTCTAATTGTTTTTTCTCCGAGGGCCTGTCGAGGTTCCGTTTTAGATGTTTCCCAACGAGGCAGCACACTGGTCTCTGAAGACCAAACCGGAGGAAACTGTCGGCTCCTACCTTTGAACCTGTACCACTTTGACGCTCTGGGGTTGTTCATTGGCCGTCCTCTGGCGGCTGGCGTTCTGGGAGCGGCTCATTGCTCCGTGTCTGCTTGCAGATTGTGGTGCCACCGCTGCCCGGAAAGGCCTGGAAGCGGCAGATGCCGTTCCGCGGCGACGAAGGCATCTTCGACGACGAGTTCATCGAGGAGAGGAAAAAGGGCCTCGAGGTCTTCATCAACAAGTGAGTGGCTTCCTGCGTGAGGACTGCCCACTGCTCCGGGGTTTTTTATGCTCTCGGGCACGGGAGACTGTGTTGCACTGGCGCAGTGCGACTGGAGCCGTACGCGGAGAGTTGAAAGCGGGCTCGTTCTGGTGCCGCATTCCAAGTTTGTCGCTCGGTTATGGCACAATTTGAATGCAACCCAGGCATTCTTTTATTTGCATTTGCTACCAGAACGAGGAAACTTTGTATTTGAAGACCTGCACGAAAAAGATATTTTGAACTCGTTTGACGAGCAGCCAGGTGGGCGTCGCTTTTCATTAAGCTCGAATACGCGCCTGACTGAGAGTCGTTACCATTGACTCCAACACTAAGTCTGCAATGTTGACGCAGGAGCGGGCTGAGGCACTTTATTTTTCGTTCGTTAACTCGCCTCAATATTATTTTAACGAGAGCAACGACCCGGGTCAATGCGTTTTGCTCGCTACCACTGTTTGGAAACCATCCCGAACGGAGCTTGCTCAGACGCGGCTCATTTCCGTTAAGCAAATTCTTCGCTCGCTTTCCGGCGATGCCAGTGAACGGGCAAACTCTCTCTTTCTCCGAGCACAACAGCGCTGTGGCACCCGTCGTCGTGCCTCAGCAGGCCGGACAACAGTGTTGGGAATACATTGTACTTAAAGTACTACTTCAAGTAGATTTAGTAAATTTGTACTTTACTCGAAGTACATTCCCCGAGCATATACTTGTACTTTACTTTTTTTTTTCCGGCACTTTCCAAGGAAAGTACAAATCCCGACTTCAAAGTACATTCCCCAAATTTGGTTTTGTTAAATTTGTATCACGAAGTGATGCTTTGTCAACTCCCAAGAAATACAGGGAGGAATATTCTCTCACCAGAGACGTGGGCAGACAACGCTCCGCTGGTTCTGGGGACGGCTTTCCAGTAGCTTTTAGAACTCTCGCTACTTCTCGGTCGGTCTGCACAAGAGAGAAGGTTTAAACTATTAGGAGAGCAAAATTAATCATAATCTAGCACCTCAAACTGTGGTGGGGAACAATTAAACTTTCAAGTCGGAGGAAAAAACAACAGAGAAGAACGTCACAATGTTTGGGACGTTCTCTTTTGTATTTTTCTTCGACTTGAAAGTTCCTTAATTTTTTCGCACCCCAATCTCAGGTGTCGCATTATGATTAATTCTCACCAGCTCGCTTTCACACTCACTGTTTTTTTCCAATAAAGAGAGATCTATGAGAGGATTTCTTGCGGAAGCTACGGAGCTGACTTCATGCCCTCTCCTTTTACATCCCTTGGGTGCAACAATCCACTGCAAGCGGCGCCAAATTCAGAAGAGGGACTTCTAAATTTGGCTCCATCCCTGAAAATAACTACTCCGTGGCCACTTGACTTTATCAAATATTCGCCGCTTTTTTCGAAAATAGCTCATGCACCCCTGCACTACCCTTGGGCAATGCATACCAGTTAAAAAATCACTGTATAAGGGAATTGAAAGGTTGTGTTAAAATATTTTTAAAGTAGAGAGCGCGACACTGTTAGCACGAACAAGCAATCTCCGGTTTTTCCAGTTTTTCTCTTTGAAACGAAGGGATGTCATCCAAGTTATTGTTTTGTAAGGAGGACATTTAATTCTACGATCTAAGCGATAAAATTTCGTGCTTGCTAATACTATTTAGAAGTAAAATGCGAAAATGTGCCAATGTAGTGTTCACGCTAACAGTGTCTCGATGTGTACATTGTATATATAGTACTTGACTTCAAGTACATTGCACCCAGTGTACTTGCTACTTTACTTAAAGTACATCGCGTCTCATTTACTTTACACTTGAAGTACCTTTTAGATGTGCTTTAGCCAACACTGCCGGACGAGACTGTAGCTCCCGCTGTCTTAGAAACTGCGTCTGGCGTCTGCTTCGATTTCCGTCTGGGGGCGGAGCAACTTGCGGCGGAACGGGCCATTCCACGCCGCCATATGCTTCGGAGGGCCGCTCGAGGCAGGCCTCGGTTGGAGGCGCATTTGGGGCTACTCGCGAGGGGCTTGAGTGGCAGAGAGTGTGCTTTTTGTTTCAGGGTGGCGGGCCACCCGCTGGCACAGAACGAGCGCTGCCTGCACATGTTCCTGCAGGACCAAGTGATTGACCGCAACTATGTGCCGGGCAAGATCCGCAACACGTGATGGACAGTCGGCGCTCCCAGCCGCTCGTTACCTTGCCCGTCCGGCCACTGCGTCGAGAGGACCGCCGGATCGTAACCTCGAGTCATTCTGGTCCCGACGCGTCTGTGCGCGAGTCCCAGTGTCGGACGGAATTCCTCCCGCTGTTGGTCGGGATTGCGGGTCCGTGGTTTCCCCGTCGGTCGTTACATTTCACTGCAGGTGCTGCGCTTGTATCGAGAGCGAATAAACTTAACGGAAACTGTTTAGCAACACGGTGCAACGCAGTTGCGGCGACCGTCGCTCCTTTTACGCGGACGGACCTCTTTATTGTCGGGATCTGAATGACTTCTGCGGTAACTCTGTTGGGCACATGTAATAAAGTGTACATTTTTGGCAACGTGCGGTTCCAGTGGATGCACGGGTGGCAAAAGGACAGCTGGCTGCGCGGGGATTTCCAATCGGAAAGTGACTGGCGTCGTACGCCGGGCTCATTTGCAAATGCCCCAATTTTGCTCGGCGCGAGGTTTTTGATTGCGGAGAATGGGGCTTTCGTAGGCAATGTGCCAATAGCATCTTACCGCATTTAGCGCGCAAAGTGGGAAGTGCCAACCCCGTGCATTGGAATGGCAGCATGCGGAAGGATGCTATTAACGGAACCCCCTCAATATGGAAAGTTCGTCCATTTGTATAGTTTTTTAAACGGAAAATTGACATTACACAACTCCAACGCTGGACATTGGGGCTTTGCGTCGTGAAACCTAACGTGTGACCTTGCGCATTGTTCGGGCGTACGATAGACTTGAAATGCAGATTACCTACGTGAAGCTGTTTCGAACAAAAGTTGGAAGAACTTCTGGGTGGCTGGCATGTCGAATCTTGAGGCTCGGAAATGCTGCAACTTGCAGCGGGGGCGCATTCCAACACCATTCGGTGGAAGCCGACTACGCCGAACAAGCGCGGCGAGCCGTTGACGACGTCCACTGCAACTTTAGAACTGCTGGGGTCAGTGTCCCAGACTGGTTTAGTTGAGGCAGGAGGGGGGGGAACAACAAAGCTGTTCTCTTTCTTGCACTTGGAGGGGGGCATGTAGGTGTGGAAATATGCGAGACAAGTTTGGAACAAGTGGCACTTGGAGGTGCGAAAAAGATTAACCAATTAATGACTCGACCCTCAGGCAGAGCCCCATTGCCTCGTGTAAGACCTGCAACACAAGCAAAGCACATGTGGGGATAGGACAGCCTATAGAGACTTCCCTTCTGAGTAAGATAGAAGGACACGTGGGTGTCTGTGGCAGCCAATTGCACCTGCCTAGGAAGCCCATTGTTCCCAGCCTTGGATAGGAAAGCTGAAGAGTTCCTTGAATTTGAAAAAAACTACCCTAATATCCCCAGAGATAGGCCACCTAAAATTGAAAGCAAATCTGTTGGAAATGAGGAGTAGCTCACTTTTGGTCTGCGATAAAAAGAAAAGTTGTAAAAAAATGTGCTTCAGATTTAGTGACCAGCGATACTCGGAATGGCAGAGAGCGGCGATGAACCAAAGACTGTCCAGTCAATGTTCGCTCATGTCCCTCCGCGGCCGAGTAACACCATTTCTGCCAAAGTCCCCGTTCGCCAGGGCCTGCAATTAGCCTAAGTGGGCTGTTTTTCGGTGTTTTTAAAGAAATGGCAAATTGTGCCAAAAAATGGGGGGCGGATTATTTTTGGGGGCTGGGGCATCTCTGGATGTTACCGTAGTTTTAATGCGGGTACCTTAAAAATTGTCTTCAAGGGGCACTAAAGTACTTTGAGATCCTCGTTTCATTCTCGTGACTCTAGGAGCTCTAAGCCTCCTAAAAAGCCAAAAATTACACGATGCACGGCCGATTTGCGTATTAAGAGACGAGACAGATGCCGTTTGTGCAGAACAACAGATGGCACTACCGAACCTCGCCGAATATGGATGCACGATGGATGGCGCCTGTCGGCCAAGCGGTGGGTTCCCGCGCGGACGAACGGGACTGGTCGGCCGCCCGCCCATGCGGGAACCCATCGCTCGCTAAGGGCCGACGTGCGCCTCCGTCGTTCGATCGTGTTCAGCCAGGTTCGGTAGTGCCATCCATTGTTCTGCACGAGCGGAAAGTGTCGGGATCTTTTATCACTCTTTTAATACGCAAATGGGCGCATCGATGTAATTTCGGGCTTTTTAGGATGCTCCTAGATTGAGTTTACAATGAAAGGAGGATCTCGCAAAGCACTTGGATGCCCCTTTAGGTTCTCTTTACATCTTAGCAGGGGCATGGTAGTCGCCAATCAAAATTTCGACGTAGCCCCGCCCGTCGAGGCGCGCCAAACGTGAAGGGAGGGAAAAACTAGCAAAAGTGACGAAATGGGCGGACGCCCCTTGCCCACCACCGAGTTGGCGACACTTCGGAGAGAAGAGGCGGCCAAAAGCCCCGAAGCAATCTCATATTTTTCAGTGTGAATGTGGTTTACATTCGCCTCTGCCCGAGTGAAGTGCCACAATCGAATTTGTGGGACAAAAGGTTGGATGCCTTGCGAGTGGGTGCATTTCTGTCTTCTGCGCATGGAAAAAGTGTGAAGGTGGGAACGATTATACTAAACTCCGCCTCCTCGGGGGGGGGGGGGGGGTGTAAACATTCGGGTGTCGGCAATGGCGGACGTGCTGTAGCAGCTGTGGCTGTAGCCGCGAGTTCTTCGCGTGGTTGCTGGTTAAAAAAGAAAGAAAATGTTCCGCTTCTGTCCTGTGTGATTTAGAGGTCGGCTCCAACCAGGCGCTGTCCAAGGAGCAGCGTTGCCAGAGGAAATGAAAACGTGCCGAGTCTTCAAATGTGGTGGGCGCATTCACGACTGTGGCGTATTTTAAATTTGTGGGAGGATTGACAGATTGACCTTTAAAGGGGCCCTCCGGAGCTTTCTGCGATCGTCTGTTTATGTTGTTGATATCGTGCGTAGTAGGTGCAAGTTAATATGTATACAAAGTTTTAGATTACAAAACCGTTTATTAAGCAGATGGCAGAAGAAATATATCGGGACTATTTTCTCTTGGGAGACAATCCCCCCCATTCCCTGCCCATCGCTAAAACTTGACCAATGGAAATGCTGCATCTCGCGGTGAATGCAAACATTATTATTGCAACACTTTTTAAGCTTGTTGTAAATCAGAGTTTGAGAAAAATGTAAACTGATTGTGGTGTGGGAAACATAGTCCGCAATTATCGCTCCAAAGCCAGCAAAGTATGTTTTCTCCCCACAAGCTTCTTGCTAGGGGGCGACGCGTCAGCTCGTCTGCTTCCCGGGGCGTCTGCAGGCGTGCGTTTGCGGGACACGTGTTTCTTCTTCCCGTGGATCCCGACTCCAAATCCAGCTTTGCAATCCTTCCACGTCAACGAGTCAAACTTTTCCTTGTCATCTGTGGAATGCGACTGCGTATTGCAGTAGCAGCGCGACGGTGCGGTGCGACGAACGAAGACTGCCGAGCACAAAGTCCGGAGAGATTCCTCCGCGGGTCGGCGGTCGGCCGCGTTGGTGACGCGCAGTGACGCCCAGTGACGCCGGACTCTTTCGCTTGCTATTGGCTGACGCGTAAAGAGATGCCCCTCCCGTTTTCCGGGGTCATCTCAGAAAGGGGGGCGTGCCGGGGACTTTGATAGCAATTTTAATAGGGAAATCCGCCGCGCATGACCGTAATTTTATGATTTTTAGGATCCTTAGGGCCCGTAGATTGAGTTGCCACCATAAATAGACCATCACAGAACGCTCCGGAGGGCCCCTTTAAGGCCCAGTGCAGTAATGCAAACCAGCTCGGGGACGCCAATGCGAGCCCCGGGAAGAGTTTTCTTTTGTCTGTAAGGAGTCCCTGGAATGAGTTCACCTCGAGATAGGGATGGTGGCTCCGTAGGGCAGTGCGGCTCTTGCGCTGTCTGGTGCGCTCGCCTCGGCCCTTGAAGACCGTGCCGGACCCACATCCGCAGCAGGTCTCCAAGGTGAACGGCCCCTAGTCGCTAGACCGATGTAGGACCAACTAAGAACGGCATGGCCATTCTTAGTTGGTGGGGCGATTTGTCTGGTTAATTCCGATAACGAACGGGACTCTAGCCTATTAAATAAGTGCGTGGTTCTCTGCACCTTGCACCCTTCTTAAGAGGGACAAGCGGCTTCTAGCCGCACGACACAGAGCAATAACAGGTCTGCGATGCCCTTAGACGTCTGAGGCCACACGCCCGCTTCACTAAAGGAAGCAGCGTGTTTTTGTCCCTGTCAAGACAGCTTAGAAATAAGTGGCTTGAGCAAATACAGAGGGCTAATTGAAGTCCATCGGTTTACGCCTGAGCAAGTGTTCGTCTGTTTAAATAACGGGGCATAGAAAAGTAAGTTTCCATAAAATTTTGCAAAAAAAACAAAAAAGCAATAATTACTTGGTGTCAATGAATCTATGGCATAACTTCCGCAATACGCTCGGGTAGCTCGATCGATCTCGCTCGGTTTCTCTTCCACAGATTAGCGCAGGTTTTCAAACTTTTGCAACTTGGGTTTACGACACACATACGTACCCCGATACGCTGACTGCCAACAGCCTTTTAGTCGAGCTAAAAAGTGGTGACAACGAGCAGCGATCGAGCACTTTTGGGCTATGATGTGCTCACAGTACCGATTGCACAGCCGCAATTGCTTATTTACAGTCGCTACACCGGCTGTCATCTGTCTTTAGCTTATTATCTTTGAACAACTCATTAAACGCGAGGCACCATTCATGAAACTTGTGCAACTAAACGTTTTAACACAGCGATGAACATGGTGTCTACTTACCTGAGCAAGCGACCTGCTGCGGCATGCTGCTCTTGGGGCGGTGCAGCCACTGCTGTGGAAGGTCCGTCTTGGACAGTCCATTTAGAGCCGCGTAAAAGGCGGTAGCCACCATGTGGCTGTACTTTGCAGCCCTGCAAGGGCACTTGCAGTGACTCTCCAAAAATTGGAGAGCGTCATCTTTACCGCGTAGCTACAATTCTTAAACGACGCCTGGACATTCGCAACTAGAGTGAAATCCTTCACCTCAAAAGAAAGGACGTATCCTTCGAGGTATTTCCTTTTGCCTTTTTCGAAGGCCACATTCTCGCCGGTAAAAAGGCGGTGAATCTCCGACAGACGCAGGAAAGGTAAAGCAGCCATCGCTTTGACTAGCAGACGTAAAGCAGACGACGTTAACTGCGCCAACCCGCCGACGCCGTTAAAGAGTGAGGGGTCTCGCCGCACACGAATGGAGGGAAAAAGTATTTGGGAGGGAACTTGCAGACACTAACCACCCTCACCTCTCGGTTCTTAGCAAGCAAACCTCGGCGCCTCGGGACACCTCGCCAGTGAGTCCTTTGACTTCCCTCCTTGATGCGCGTCTGCTAGT